AGTTTTCAATGTGAACAAATAATCTCAAATATTGAACGCTTTCAATCAACTTTGACTAAAATTTCATCTGAATTTTGTTCATAAGCACTTTTTTAATCGAATTTGACTAAAATTTCACTAAAGTTTGGTTCATTGGCGCGTTTCCAATCAAATTTGGCTAAACTTTCATGCGACTTTTTATTTGCGCAATTCCAATTAAATTTGACAAAAATTTCACTTAGTTTTCGTTTATTGATTACAATCAAAATAGAGTTTTTAAAAGTGAGATTGAATTAAGATCAACATGAATCTTAAAATTTATATGATTAAAAATTTATTTTCTAGCAAGACTCATATTTTACAAGATATTACACTAATAAATGTAGACTCACGGTAAATTAATATCATTGTATTTAGTAAAATAATAGAATAACGGTCGTGCTGATCACCAATCTTGGTGACAATGTGCTCCCTGATTCATTACTAGAAATTATAAATAAAGGGTCAACTACCATCTAAATTGGTAATGAGCTTGCTAATAATAAATATCATTACTCAGACAAATATATAACTTGACTACGAAAAGTCATCAAAGTTTCGATAATGAATCAATGGTTCATAGACATATAATTAACACAAATAACATTACGCAAACATTTATATAATTTGTCCAAGGACAAGGAAAGCATCAAAATTTCTTTTCATTCCTTGGCACAAAGATCTATAAGGTTGCATTATTGCATGCATAAAACAATATCAATTGGACTTTGATAGTTATCCTCAAAGTTTGGTAAGTGATGAGCCTAATTCATTAAATTAATTAGTGTATATAGGTATAAGATGGTGACACAACAAGGCTTTTTTCTTTAGTATTAATATTACAATCATTATTGGAATCAAATTAATGTTATGAACAACCCACTCCACAGCCCCTACCAATTAATTCCAAATTTTTGGTACACGAAAATAATAGTTCCCATCAAACTTTGTTTTCTTTATTTTATTTGGCCCACACGTTAGGTATTTTTTTTTTTTTAACTTTTTCATGAAAAATATATGTTTCTTGCACCGAACTCCAAATCTCCAATTGTGACAGTACAATTGCTCAGGAAACTACCTACTTACGAGGTGAAATAGTAATTTTTGGGAAAAGGGTTTTAACTTTACTTTTACTTGTACTTTTACGTTCTATTGTATAAATTTGGATTCTCTTAGTTTTAAAATTTAGAGTTTGTTTGGTAAAACTTAAAAGTTAATTAAAATTAATTTTTTTATCATTATTTTATTACTACAGTCGTCATTTTTGAATTTTTCTTGCACAAATAGGATTTACTTTATCTTTAACGATCAAAAAATTAGTTATCAAAATCTCTACCAAACAAGCACTTACTATACAAAAAAAAGTTACAGAGTAATAATTAGATGGTTGGTGTATGTCTTGTTACGAATATTTCAGTATCATTTATTGCTTCAAGATAACTTTAGCTCTTTTGATGGCAATATTTTGAATAAAAATGATGTTCTGAATAGTAATTTATTGAAAAATATATAGTTAAAAAGTAAAAAAAATTTAAATTTACTTACAAAAATTTTTATTATATGAATGTGATTGAAGAGAGAGAAACATGGACTTGTTTGCTACTGTCAGTAGCCAGCAACCTTAGAAGGTTCAGTCCAAATAGTTTGGGTGGGAAAATTCACTTTATTCTTGGTTGATTTTCTCTCATGGCGAATTGGATTTTTTTTCTCCATATTTTGATCTTCTTCGACCCAAAGTGAATTTTTTGACGACGAATAGAAGAGCACTTTCTTTCAATTCCAAAGCCTAGTGCCTCTTGATAACATTTTATCACCTTTAATTCATTCGGGCAAGTTGCTTATGAAATGTCAACTACTATTTCCTATTTATGGGATAAGCCAAATGACGATCAAATAAAGAATCGAAAAATATATTTGAATTCAATTTTTGTGTTTGGTAGCATAAACGAACTCATTACATTGAAACGTCATTCTCACACAACCTGTGCAAGAAAAGGGTTATATTCGACCAAACTTTGAATAGTCGAAAATAATAATAATAAGAAATGACGTTAGATTGTGGGCCACACTAGAAGTAGATTGTGACCCGTGGAATGGAAGACGGGCAATGGACGGCAGTTTTGGGTTCTACATGGTTGGCAGAATGGGTGGGTCACTGAGATCGTCTAACAATCAAGAATAAAGGACTAGTGGGCCAGGCACTAATTAAAATGGGGCCCACAAATTGCCACTTGTCAGTGTCGAACCGTATTCTTAATTTACTAGCAATTAAAGACCTTTTTTTTTTTTTTGACAAACTTGCCTTAGGTATGTTTTACATTTGTCTTCGAAAGTGAAGTTTTTCTTCCCAATATCCAACGCTATTCCAGCTGTCTGTTGTCTTTATATGACGACGTCATCTTATCTTGGCCGATTCACTACAAATTTTAATTTTTAATAGAGGAAATTTCTTAAAATGTCTATTTTTATCTAATCATTTGTAAAAATGTCCACTATTGTAAAAATGTCTAATTTGGAAGAATTTAGACCAAAATACTCTTATGAACAATCTATAATTCCACACTAAGACAAAAAATGGACATTTTTGCAATATTGTTATTGGCCAATAAAATTTTGACACATAACCTGCCATATTTATTTTAAAAAGTATACATATCAAATCAAAATAAATGCTATATAATAAACAAGTTGTGACTAAATTTAAATGAGTGGACACTTTTCAACTCATACCCTTAAAATTGGAGATTCTTAAAAATGCCCCTTTTTAATATTGGTTTGACTCTTTTACTCTTGTCTGCTTACTTTTTTCGAGTCAATATTCTGATCAATCTTTAAATTGTAATAATTTTTGGTAAATAATAAGCAAAATCGAAATTGTTTGCAATATACACCCCCATACTATAATAGTTATGAGTAGACGTGTTAATAGATGAACATCTCACCGACATCCATAGATCAAACTTGTCTAAATTCATGGAGTTGAATCGAATCAAGAGTAATCAACATCAAAAATATCAATGACTGAATAGACTAATTTGGTAGAACAAAGTATGGTATCACATTTTAGCATTGG